ATTTTTCTTTATCTAAATTATTTGATACCCTCATCACCTTACTCTTTTCTATGTTCATATATATTATAATAAAAATATATTTTGAAACTACATTAATCCCTATTTTAACCCTTTCAGGGTCCGTCCCGTAGATCTACGGCTTTACGTTCAGGGTCCAAACCGTAGATCTACGTCATGAGCTCAGCTCACTCTGATAAACTGTGATTGGTACATTTGGGCCTAGATATGAGAGAATACATCTATGTGCACCACATAAAACAGATCCTGCAGCACACTGTGTATAATGAGAGAAAAAAACTGAAATCATGATTTTTCGATTAAAACAGCGACTTTGCAGTGTTTTTTCCTATGTTTTTTATAGTTGTATTTGCGATTTCTTGGTCTCATTTGATAGAATGGAAGACATATTGCAGAAATAGAGATGATTTTGATTGGTTTTAGCACTGGAAATGGCTTGAAACTGAGCTCAAAGTAGCAGAAATGTTAAATTTTTGCCGATATTCAAGAGTAGACAAACAACCTCACACATCTAATACACACCAGCTGGTGGGTCTAATATACATTCACAAATATGGTGATGATATTTATACACTTATTACAGTATTGCATAACAGTAAATCTTCTATTTTTTGGTGTGAATAAAAATTCATTATGTGAATAAAAAATCAAAGTGGAATTTATTTGTCAAGCCTCAAAATGTAACTAATGAACAGAGGAAACGTTAGTTTAGTTCCAGGAATACCTACATTGTTTATTCTGGACCCTATTTTCAAATTGGAATATTTTGAACTTTGTGTTAAATTGGCCAAATTAACAATTTCCGATCACTTTATTTTGTAGTTGAAACAGTTGACTTGGCGATTTCTTGTGCTCAATCGATAGAATAGAAGTAATACTAGTAAAATAGCTAAGAATTTGGTTGACTGGAATAATGTAATTGGCCTAAACTGTGAGTCAAAGTCGGCAAAATCGCCGATTCGTAAATATCGCTGACACATCAAAATTCGCGAGAGCATAATTTCGTGAATTTTACATCAAATTTCGTACTTTTTGTTTTATTACCTTCACAAAAAGATTCTCTACCATTTCATAAGAAAAAATAACAAATTTTTTTTTTTTTAAATTCTTGGACACTGAGGCACCACTTCAGATTTGGGCCTTGGACCCTGAAGGGGTTCAAGGTTAAAAGTATCTTTGGCTGGTGGTGTACAGGGAACATGTAACCTTAATGACCATCATGTAAACAAGTAAGCTAAAATTCAAACAAACCAATCAATTAAGGCTGTTCACTTAGTAAATAGAGGACTTTTGCTATTTGGTTATGTGGCTCATCGAGGTAATGAGAGCAAACAGGCTACAGTGTCAATGGGCGCACTTTGATTTTCTCAAGCTATCTTGGATTAAAATTAGATCAAATGGCAGTAATGGAATGTGACAATGGAAATAGGATGATGAAATGAAGTATAGTAAAATACTTTTTAATTTGAGTATTACAAAAAGTATAAATTTAAGTTTGATGGTTTTTGTATCAAGTTTCCTAAGAAAAGTATTACCAGGTACATGTACTATAAAGTTTAAGAATAAAAAACCATACATACAATTATAATAAACTTATACTAGAAACATTTATTTGTATGGCACCTTAGTAAAGTGATGCCTTTACCTACAGTGTTGTGTGGAGTTATCAGCGTGCTGTTCTTCATTCTGGAGGTGTTAATCTTTCGCGTGGGCCAAGAGTCCGGTCTCTATGTCACGCTCAGTTGGGCCTTTGCTCTGCAGGTAAGTATATCTAACTTTCACTCTCTGGTCATCTGAATATGCTATATTGTTCAAGTAGAATGAACAGTTCTCTGCATATATTCTTGTTCCATAAAAGCTAATCATTGCATAGTAAAAAGTAAGATAAAACAGATAGGTATTGCATATAATGGCATACCACTGAGGCTGTCTTCAACAAACTAAAATGTGTGTAATGGTTAGAAAAGGTTTTTCCAGCATGTTACGAACTATATTGTTTCCGTTATATACAAAACTTATGCATGAATACAGTCCTTCAGTTGGCTGAGATTGCACCATGACCCACTTTCAACATCTTTAAGGTCACTGGAAACCTAATTATATAACTACCCTTGTTCCTGCACCTGACTTGGATCATGTGACTTCCCTTGTAGTATATTATCATATCATATATAATCATAATGAAGTGCTAAACCCTTAAGGGCCATACAGCACTGCAGGGTAGTGTGCTAAAAGTTTAATATGCTTGATCGGAGACTAGTAAAGATGAAGAGTATAACAGAGGTAGAGTTAGTAAGGATGGTGAGGAGTGCTGAAGGAAGTATAAGTTGGTGCAATAAATCTGTTGCTGTCAAAGTCAGAGGGAGTCTGTATCAAAGGTGGGGCCGTCAATGAGGAAGGAAGAGAGTAAGGGCGTTAGAGCAGTGATGTCAGAGGTAAATTCTGCGTGGCCATTGGTAGACAGGAGAGTCTAATAGAATATGGCAAACTGAAATTGGAACTTGACAGTTCTCACAGAATGGCACTGGGCACCTCTGTGTGAGATACCCATGAGTGAAATGTGTACCCGATGCAAAGACAGGAATGTGTAGTCTTCCTACCACAACATCGACGATAAGAAGACCGGAATCCTAAAGACGACTTGATAAGTGTAATTTGTAATTAACTCGGAATGATGCTGTTGCAAAGGTGACTAGTGATTATAGCAAAATAGTCTGAGAATGGAATACCACCATATGAAACGGGAATGTATTGCTGACCGCGCAGCAGAGTTCACCTGCTTGGCGCCCTCCTTGTAGTATACTGTACTTTTTTTGTCTGATGAAAAAGATCTTGGTGTTAAGTTGTAATTACATAGGGCTTCTTGAAGTCTTTCATGTTGTCTTTGAGTGTTTGATTAGGGTTCATTGCACTTTTGTATTTGTAATCATGATATATTTATATAAACAGTGTATTTTTTATGTTCAAAATTAACAATTAAGTACACCTCATTGTACTGACAATGAAATTAAACCTTTCAGGCAGTAGCAGTGATAATGGGCGTGTTGGCTGGAGTGACTGCAGGAATCGAGTTTGGGTGGTCTCGCAAACTTGGTGGTGATCCTACAGTATATGGTAGAGATCCAGAGGGCACAGCTGCCACAACTATATCTAACCCAAACTTCAAGGACACCAGCAATGGGCATACACAGCACAGTAGATCAGGTAGCACCAGAGGCAGGGGTAGTCAGAGAGGACCTCGAGTGCATAGAAACTCCAATGGTGTGGCAATGACTCGCCTGAGTGGTCAGCCCTACATGATCACAGCTAATGGCAGCAATGGGCATCTGAGGGCCAATGGTGTAGTGGCCTTTGATCCAAACAGGACTCCTTTAAGATCTTCTCTTAGAAAGCCCAAACACCCTCCCCCAGAAGATGCCCCAGACTCTTCGTTGGGGATCCAGAATCTGGCCTTTACCCAGTCCAGTCCTGTGCTTAAGAAAAAAGTAAGAATCCACACACAATCAACATCAGTGTAAAAATGCTAAATTTGTAATGTTGCTATTTTATTTTTGGGTGCCACCTGGCTATACTAGCCCAGTGCCACTCATTCCATACCAGATTTGTGCCTCTCGCCATCTTGGTACGGGTTTTAAGTGCCTAGTGTAAATAAAAGTGTAACAGGTTTGGGCCCAAAAACCCCCGGTGTAGTGATTGACGTATGTCCCAGGAAGAATGTTATGAATGCGAACGTTTACTATTTTATAAACTAATAAACTATTGTTATATATTTTAAATGTTTAAAGTTTTGTTAGCTAAGATGGACTATTGTGCGGGATGATGCAATTTTCCCCAGAGTCTGGAAGCATTTACAGTACAGTACTACAAATATGAGAAAAAAGCGAACTTTTTAGGACTGTCTTGAAAAAGTGTCCTTACAAATACAGATTAATATTTGCTTTTTATAAGGGAGAAAATTAAAAATGTTAAAAGCAAGAATTGCTTAAAATATCAGTAGTAGTATTAAACCATTTATAGATAACTTATACCAAATGAGGAAATAGAGCTTTGACAGGGAACCAATATGTGGCTCTTGTGGTTATACGACAAATGTCTTGCAATGCTTAAGTTGGAAACCTGCCTACACCATTTTTTGCATAACCAAATTTGAAAGGCTCTGTGTTACAGAACCCTATCTTCAGACTGTACTTCAGTTGCAGGTGCCCTCCTTCAGCCTCCCTCTAGTCTTGTCCTTTCTTTCTTTGTTCATGCAGCCTGATCCTCAGAAGGTAGTAGTGTTCATTTTAAGCTGCTGCCATCTGTTGCACCTTCTCCATCGCCTCGCTGCTTTCCTTATAGCGCCTCTACTTACCTACGCCCTCATGAATCCTAACGTTCTCCTGCAATGCTACCATCCTTCCCCAGGAGTATCATAGGCTCTCTATGGTCACCTGTGATGATGAAAAAAATGATCCTTTCAGCTCTGTCTGTTTTATGTCCCCACAGTTACCAGGAGCCCGACTTTTTCAGACCTTGTTTCACTCCCGTTTCCCTTTCCCTTATGAAGGTTGAAACAATCACGCTTTTCATATAATTTATCTTAAAATGAGATTTCTCCATTTGTATATACAAGACCCTGAGTTTCAGGCACTTAAAAATGCCTTATGACCTAGGTGTTGAACATTTCTTTGTGATTATTGGAAACTACTCATTTTCCTTTGATCTGCACCCCCCCTCAGCTCATTGATACTTGTAGGTTTTTTTCCTGTGAATATTTCTTTTGACTAAGATACCTCTTTGCAGTCCATCTACCACAAGTCCTTAATGATAGCTGCTGCTACCAGATCATGACTGATTTAATATCTACATACCTTTTACTTGACCTTTTTGTTTTATACTTGCATCATTTATGTCTACTTTTATAATGGATTAGAGGATATAGGAAATTGGGCAGAAAATAGGTGCTGGCCTGACTTCTTCTGTATCTCTTGGATTTCAGTTATACTCTTACACCAACCCTGTACACCCTTACCCTTTGCAAATTCCTACTTTTGCATATCCCTCCCCACAGCACTATGACCCTTACTGGGTGTGCTTAAATTGATTATAATATAATAATTGTCCTTTATGCTATTTGTCTACAAGAAACTAAATGCCCAGATACTGGTCTGTCACTGTCTACATTTTTCTACAATATGTTCACCCTTTAATGTGTAACAATGATTAGAATTTTTGTACACACTGGTGTTCCATATACCTGATATTTCAAACTCTGCTCCATTATGCAACAGCCAGGAGTTAAAAGATACACTATTTGCAAAATCCTAGCACCTACTATATTTTTTTCTTTTTTTACTCAGTGGATGTCTGTCAGTGCAGGGTGACCCAAAGAAGAAAAACAAAATTCACCAACATTCACTCACTTGCTGTCTGTCTTTACAGACGTGTGTCGACACGAGTCTTATTACCTTCTGACAGCAACATCCCCACCCCATTCGGAGTGCCCTTCCCATCTCAGGGGCTCAGGTCCAACTAACTGGCTTCCCTAAATACCTTCATAAAACTTATCCTGTTCCCACTCCAATAGTATGTCCATTAAAAACCACCAGTCTCCATTCACTGAAGTTTTCTGGATAATGAAGTCCCTAAAACTCAAAGCCTTATGTACCCACCCCTTACAACCATTCCTGGGACAATATACAGTACATATACTATGAAAAAATATATTAATACCCAAGCACTTTCATGTGCTTATGCGCACATCAGAGGGAATAGAAAGAATCAAGTCGGCTTTTAGCATGGGACCATGGGCTGCCTGCAGTGTCCATTTTATTACATGACAGTAAGCCTACTACAGCCTCTTTATTTTAACTTTAGCATGATTCACCTCACCAATAATATTAGGACAGAGCTAAACCTGAAAGGATCATACAGCACCATGTCACTTTAAAAAATGCTTCCCTTGTTTTTATTTTATACTCCCTTTGCAATGACCTGCGTGAGCTTGTGTTGGAGTGCAGAGATGTTGAATCTTCCGAGTTATGAGAATATCAGCATAACGGAACCAGGTGATCGAGGAGGGTACGACAGAGAAAAACCTCTCATCTTAAAGATGTTCCATGTGTAATCTCTCAAGAACAGCACTTAATGGTGAACCCCTTGGTACACTGAAGATCTGTTGAAAGAAAGAATTTTCAGAAGAGAAACAGAGCCAATACACAGTTCATTATTATTATAAGCTGTATAGTCCTTGTGGCTTAGTGCTTCTTTTTGATTATAATAATAATAATAATAATAATAATTATTATTATTATAAAAAATAGGCACTAGACCCACCAGGGTCATACAGCACTGAACACTTGGTTCAGTGAGATCAGAATCACTAGGTGGAATGGGAAGGTTGAGGTTTAGTTTTTGTTGCAGATCAATGGCTTATGCTATGGGTACTTAGTGAATAGGAATGTAAAGTCTGACCTGGAGATTTCTTGTTTCTGATGAAGTTGTAAAGATTACTAGAATGTTTTTGAATGTGTGCCAATGGTGCTTAAGTTCTTTTAGGTGTTTGACTAGAATCCCAAATAGTTTGTGGGGACGCTGCTTATTCCAGATGAGATAGGTCTCAATGGAATGTCTAGTTTCTGCATCTTCTACACACTATTCCAATCAACCCAAAATTTGCCAGAACATATGGCCTGAAGACAAACCAGAATTAGTGAGACCCATCTCATCTGGAATAGGCAGTCACTGCTGTATGATCCTTGTGGGTTTAGCGCTTAGTTTTGATTATAATAATGGAATAGGCAGTAATCCCCCACAATCAGGGATTCTAGGACATCAGTAAGACACCAAGTTAAAACCACAGCAGGGGGTATACACAATCCCTCACAATCACTGTGACCAAGTGTACAAAGGAGAAACATCAAAAGACCTCCATACAAGACTCATTGTCAAAGATAGGGTTCAAAATGCAGGATTCTGGAATAGTTGCTAATCAGCATATGAAACAACTTCACCCAGAACAGCAGCTGTTACAGCATAGCTGAGCCTCTTGCCAGGAAACCTCTTCATTATTATCCCACAGCAACAGGTTATAGTATGAAGGAACACTCCAACAGGCCTACTGATCAAAGATAGGCCAATCCTCCTTAAGTGCAACTTTCCCAGCCATATATTTCTCCAGCCTGTCATTAGTTTTCCAAAGAAGCTTTAAAATACCTCACCTGACTCTTCACATCAGTATGCCCATTATATACACATGCACATCCTCTCCCTCCCCAGGTAGATCTGTTTGTGACCTGATATAGCTCACTGTATGAGCAATATGCCATTGATAAAGCATCACATTAAACTTCACTTGTGTCCATCTCCACTTCTAGCAAGACTGCATTAAAGGGATGATTGGGAATATGTTTTCTTTGTTGGAATCATCCTACCTTACCAGCAGACTGCTGAGGAACCCACCCGCCCCCACACTTTCTCACGTGCACACACATTCTCGAATGCACACACACTTTCTCACATGTGCACACGCTTTCTCACATGCACTCTCGCATACATACAGGCACTTTCTCACATGCACACACACTTGCATACACACTTTCTCACACGTACACACTTGTAAAAATTTATGTCTGTATAACAGCCTATCTTTATGCACTGATTTAAAGTTCATAACCTGATAAATCTGTTACTATACTCAACTTGTCACTAAAAACTAGCATTCTACATTGTGAAAGCCACAGTACTAAATGCTATGTTATGACAACTAAAATTTTAATAGCTGAGGAATAACTGACATACATTTACACACTACGTACGAACACACACACGGCCAGTTTTTAGAAATCATAATAAATATTAATGGTGTTACATACAGCATATCATATATGAATCCCATCTTTGAGTATGGAGCACCAGCATGGAAGCCACACCTGATAAGCATTCTAAGAAACTAAGAGGATGTATAGAGCCTTGTTGAGGGAAATAAGCTATAATTAGTTAAATCTAACACAAAATAGAAGGACCAAGAATGACAGCATTCAATTATCAGAGGCCCTGATACGGTGGACAGAGACTGTTCAAGAGGTGAAAAGTAGGTACAGTCGAAACTTAAAGACATGGATGATCCATAGGGATGTCAGGAAATATTTATTCAGGCTTGGAGTGCTAATGAAGTGGAAGGACTTTCATGAAGAAGTGATAGAGCCAGACTACATAGCTTTATAAATAGGTATTGCAGCGCTATATAGCCCTTGTGGCTTAGCGCTTCTTTTTGATTATTATAATAATAATAATATAAATAGGTATGATATGCTCTATGAAGCCAGGTAGCAGTGAGCCTAGTCATGGAAAACAAAAAGGGCAGGGCTGAGGTATGACCCTTGCATCCACAAACAGGTATTGTAGGTGTACCCATATCTTAAACCAAATTTGGACTATGCAGCAGTGGTAAAGGTGTTGACATCTAGTATGTAGATAACTAGAAAAGTCCAAAGACAAGCTATTAAATGGCTTTATGAGCTAAAATATAAGTTAAGAAGAAAGGCTGAAAGCAATAGATGTAATAATCACATACTGAATATTGTATAATATTAAAAGAGGCAAAAGATTTCCAGAATAGACATACTGTAGATATAACTCAAGGAAGAAGTTGCCAAAAAGATACTAGAAGGCTCTTTTCAGTGTTAGATTACTATGTATCAACAGAAATGCTCTTGATCCAAGGAACTGGAGCTTCCTTTCACTGGATCAAACCTGATTACCTCCTATTTCCCAGGTTTAGTTCTTTCTCATGAAAATAATTATAAAGAAATCATAAGAGTGCTTGAGAAATAAGTAAACAGGGTCAGTGCAAGGAGGGATACTTACAGTTCCTTGGATCAAGAGCCCTTCACTGACATCAAAACACACTCCCTCTTAAGAAAAGTGGTAGAACAATGGAATGTGTTACAGGAGGTAGTAAATGCAACCACTGGATTTTTTTTTTTATTAAGATTAAATACAGTACTGAGGATGCATGGACTTACCTCTGCTCCTGTAGCCATAGATAGTTACTGGTAATTACTTACATATGCTGTTTACATTTTACCAACTTCGAGCACTTTCCATCAGTCTTCCTTCACCTCCCTAGTCTCACACCATACCTGCAATTTACCGAAGTAGTAGTAGTTAAATTAGCCTGCAAGAGCAATTTTGCTTTTGCTGCAGTCATCAAGTCCTACAGGACCAGGTAATCAGATCAATCATATTAAAGCCATTTAAGTTTGCTAGATTTAAGACGAAAAGTTTGAAGTTATCTAGCACAGTGTTCTATATGGGTGGTATAAGCTGTATTCTTGCTGAATCTAATGTAATGACATTGCAAAAATATATGAATACACTCTTGTAAAAATAACTGGAATGATATTGGAATAAATTTTTTTTTATAAAACATTGCAGTTTTTCAAATCAGTACCTGGTTTATATGAAATATATATTCATGTTAAGATTTTCAAGATTATTATAATCAAAAAGAAGCACTAAACCACAAGGGCCAAGCTTTTTCAAGAAAATTGGTTTTTATGAGTTCCTATTTAATAGATTTTTAATTTTCATTTAATTTGTTACTTACCATTTTAAAACAGAAGACTGCTTCATGCTTTACTTGTGAGGAATCTGCCCTAAATTAATATTTCAATGTAACACAGTATCATGTGTTGTCCTCTCACTGTCCACTCGTTAAGTTCTTGAAGGGGTGTAAATGTCTGTACAATGGCCTATTAAGTTTTTGTATACTGAAATATGTACGAGATCCTTTCAAATTTAACATATCTGAAGATGTGTGTGTAAACACATGAAAATACTTTTTTTTTTTTCCTATTTTCACTGGTGTATGTATGTGTGTGTATACTGTATGTATATATGCATGTATGTATATGTGTACACACACACACATATAAGTTATTAAAGTACACTGATTTTTATTTTCAACTTTGGGGTAGAAAAGGCAATATTTTTTTTTTTTTTTACAAAAAATAATTTTACTACTTCAAAACTCACATAATTTGACAATTACTCATCCTATCTCTTTTTTATGCATTTTAAAATAACCCGCAAAGGAGCATGTAACATACTGAAGAGCCACAGTCATACATCATTATGTAATAAACTGACAGAGGAACTGCAGTAAGTTATATAATTCACAATATTGGAGAATACCATACTAACAAAATACTGTGATCATATAAAGCTGATTGATACAAAACAGATATAGTACCTTGAAGTGTGAGGGTAGTCCAATTTTAATATAGATGGCCATTAGAAACAAAAGTAAAAGGCAATATAGATGTGAGGTGGTTCTATTATGTGCCTCAGTATAGGCTGTGACTGAAGTGTATTCAATCCCCTTGCAAAAAAACATTCTATATTTTGGTAAGATACAGATATTTCTAAGAAACTTCTCAACACAAAGTAATAACAGTTAAGAAATGGGTATCAGGTCTCATGTGATATATATGGTAGGCTTTAATACATAGTTAACATTATGAAGCTTGCTATATTGCATTTTATATAAAAAAAAATGTATTATATTCTGGCCTTGTCACAAAATAATGAGTGAATATGCATGAAAATATATATATATATATATATATATATATATATATATATATATATATATATATATATATATATATATATATATATTATATATATATATATTATATATATATAAGTATATATTTATTTATTTTACACATATATACTTACATACACATTACTACTCAAATACTAGGTACACCTTATTGAAGCTCACTTCTTGAGTAAGTCGATATGAATTTTACTGTATTTTTCTATGACACATCCAGGGGCATGTGCTGGCATTACTATCAGTACTAGAAAATGCAGTGTGTCTATATATAAAACTAAGACTTTAAATATTTACTCATATGCTATTCAAATTAGAAAACTGGTGGCAATATATAGCCTTAAAAAATGTGTACATAAATATACAGACTTAAAAAAAAAAGTGTACAATAAATACTTATAATAGGTTAGTAACCAAAAATACCTTGGCCTACATTTCACATAAAAAGTCATGGAAACAATTTCCAAAGCCTTAATATTTCAAGAAACTTTACCCAGAGTACAATTTAGTGTTCCATGATCTATTTCATGAAGTCGCATAAATACAAAGTGAAGCTGCATATTACCCTGTTAACCCTAAAATATAAAATAATAATAAAGAAATGAGAATCTCACTAAACCATGAAAGAAAAACTGTGTCAGGAGTACTGGGGAGCAAACCAGCATCCTTGCAACTGCAAGTTTACAGTTACACCCACTCAACCAGTGTATATTATTATAATAATCATAACCAAGTGCTAAACCCATAGGGGCCCACAAAGTGTACAAAATATTTCTATATGGGTAGTAGTTAGGGATATCCACACACAAATCTTTTGTATACTTTTTAGTTAGGTGTATAACCAGAAACTTCCAAAGGCAAGTAGTATATCAGTTTGGCTAATACTCCATACACAAAATAACCTGACAATAAAAATAAACAAAATTTTCAGGTAGACTACCTTTGATGAAATATTTTAAAACCATATCCAACACAAAAAATACTGTACTTCACCACAGGCTACCCTTGTACAGCACAATAAGAAACAATTTTCAAGAGTAGAGCTCCAATTTGCTCCCAGCAGTATGAAGTTCAGTTTTTCTGAATGATACAAGACTTTCAAAGAATTCTGTCTAAGACCTATGCCATTATGAACTCATAAATCATAGAGGTAAGCTCACCTCAATTTATTACTTTTTACACTACAGTACAAACTATGACTCAAAAACTGTGCCATCCTACCAGTGTAAAAACTAATTCATTAAGGTTCTAGTTCAATCATTCCTTAAATGAACATCAAGAATGTTGTACTAAAAATGTTAAACTTATGATTTAGAATGTAATTTTTTCATAAAACTTCTTCAGAAAAGTCTTATTGAATATTCACCTCATAACAGCAGTACATGTACTGTACAATATCGAAACATATCAAATATTACAAAATTAAAATTACTGAATGCTGGGCAAAAGACCCATACTATGAAATGACCAATACACCCCATATGTACTAAATCTTATGTAAAAACCTTCAATGAGATGTGGATGCTGATTTAGAAAATTCTGATCTGGATGATCAGTCTGGTTGGCTTGCATAAGATTCTGTTAACCAGTTTGAGGACAACCGAGGAATGGGATATAAATCACTTGTTCTGTCTTGGAATGCTTGATTTTAAACAAGAAGATAAAACTGCATTATCTTTATAACCAGCAATCTCACTTACCTGAACTTCATCTTTGTTTATACATCAGATCCATAATAATTATGTAAACACCTAATCTTACCCTCAACACATGTCAAGTTAACACCCTTGCTGAAGGAACACTTGTAATATAATGCCCTCATTTACATGCTTCTCCTTTAAATACCTGTATTTGACTGTAGATTTAAATCCCTGCTCAGAGTCCCATTTCTGGTAATATGCTACACATTACAGTAGTATCAGAGGTAAGTTACAAAAATAGTCGACAGACAGGTAAAACAGTACTATAAAACTTAACATTAAACTGAGAATAGAAGCTAATCGCTTAAGAAATAAGATGTTCTGATTTGGTATTAAAAACAAAAAAAATCTTAATATGGATTGACAATTGCTGCTCTAGCCAGTGTAAAACTTATAGTTTTTTTGTTAATGAGAATTATTTAATGTAGCTTCCTTTTTTTTTTACCTGTTCAACTATATACCAAACTGCAAAAGTTGGACTAAGCAGACAGTGATGAAAATTCCAATACAGGGTAATATAGCTGTTAAACATATATTGTTAATTTCTGTGAAGTCAATCCCCTCCCCCCCACCCACGCAAAAAAGAAGCCTTTTTTAACTTGTGTTAAAAATATGTTCTCAGGTCAGCTTAAAATCAGGTAGGTTTAAAATTTCATACAAGGGACAATAATGGCCGTTATAACAAAAATCAGTTAAGAAGTGATACTTCATTGTGTAAATGATATTGACATTGCACACTACAAAATACTTTAGAATGGTAAGATTAAAAATTCGTAACAGTATTTTCCACTATTACATTTCAATAGTGTTTTGGTGTAATGTTACTCCCAAGCAATCTCAATTTTTCTCTTAAGTCAACATGTTATTATAGCTCAATGATAAACACTATTGGAGGATACTATTTGTGACATATCAAGAGACGGTATTTTGAAATGGCCTTAGGGTAGAGGCCTATACTTTTTCAAACTAAATATACAGTATCTAAAATTACTAACTAAATATGCTCAGCTGAAAGATCCCCCATATTAAAAAAAAATGTTGAAAATCAAACATTTTCATCGAGTTCTAAACTGGCTGGAGCTACAACACCTTCACAGTAATACATGCACTCCCTTCTGTTCTCAAAAAATTACAATGTTAAGTTTGATGGACTATCCACCTCAAGTACACCAACAAGGTACCTTTGTTATCAAAACAATTCTGATATGATATCTACAATGTACTCTATGAAAGTAAAGCATCAAATCTATAGAGCAATGTATTAGTATGCAAAATTACTTTCTCACAATACAGTAATTCTACTTTTCTGAATATAAAAAATTCTTATAAGTACAATGGTGGGACTGCTTAATATTGGAAACAGAATTTTAACAGGTATAATCTTATGAGAAAAATTCTCCATTTCAATATTCCAATACACTTAATTTTACAAAAATTCTTAGATTCACAAACATGAGCCTACCTCAGTTGAACCTTGCCAATGAATGTGACAGCATTGGGATAGAGACAATAAAATTTCCAGTATCAGTAAATCAATACAGTCTGTTTTCACCTACCATCTGTGCCAATTTATTCTATTAAAAAAAGAATGCTAAGTAAAGTGACACACAAACTCAAACCACCCATCCCTCTGACACAGGCTGTAGCTTCTCACTTCTGCCATATTTCTACTTCTCCCTATAACTTACACAAGGGGAAAAAATGACAGCCTGAAAAAACTTAGCACCAAAAATTAAATATTACATAAAAAAAAAACAGTGGCAAAAAGGAAAGGGGAAAAAAATACCTAATTTACAGAACCGAGCAAAAAGGGGGTCCAACATATTATTGCTATAGTGTGGGTACCCCCAAAATTTTGTGGTTGCAGGGGTCGAGACCCTCCGGGCCCCCCTCTTCATGGTCTTTACTAGGTCCTCTCTCTCTGCCCCATGACCCTTTCATACTCGTCAAAAAACCAAAGTAGGGTTCCCCTGCCCCCACACATCTGTTGCCAGATAGTTTCCCACTTCCTGACAACCGATGACTGAAAAAATATTTCATAACACCCCTTTTGCTTACCCGGTCTTAAATTTCCCCAATTATGACCCCTTGTTTCGTGTCCCTTTTTGGGAAACATCCTGTCTGTCCACCTATCTATTCCTCGCAGTTTTTGTAGTTGTTATCACGTCTTCCCCTAACCCTTCCGTCCCCCAGTGTCATCGGGCCGATTCCCCTTAGCTCGGGGAACTCCTTGTTGCAAACCTTGCACTTTCTCTAATTTTTGATGTCTTGACCGGGAGGGGGTTCCAAAACTGGGCTGCATATCCTAGGGCCTGATGACAGGGTGTACAGTCTTGAACAATTTATCAAGGGTTCAGAATGCTATTCTCAGGTTGCCAGGTGACCATATCGCGAAGTTATCTGGTTATGTGTGTTTCCCAGAGCAGCTGGTTTTTAAAATCACCCGAAGATTTCTCCCCTAAAGCAAATTTGCTGTCTTTTCGCCGCCTTCTAATCGTCTGGGGTCTTCTTTGCCCCCCCGATCATGACTCGCATTTGGGCGGGGTTAAAATTAAAGGGAGCCATTGTTGGCCTAAGTCCTTGTTCCAAACTCTTAGTAGACCTGCCTGACCCTCATCAATTTAATTCTCCCTTTAAACTTCACTCATAGCAAATGGGCACTGAGTCTACTCTTTAAGT